TGGTTGGGTGAGGGAGGCTCTGCAGTCCCTGCCACAGCCTCTCATCAGCCTTTAGTTGTGGGGAAGGAGATGAGTTCCTGCAGTGGCTCGTGCCTGTTTTTTCCCCCTTATGAAAGCAGGGAGGGTGTAAGGGAGCTCATCAGGAGACTATTTCACGAATCATTTGGCCCTGATGAGCTGCACTCAAGAAAGAGGGTTTGAGATGCTGAGTTGTTTCAGCTTAATCTGCTGGGATAGTGATCCTCTGCCCCTCTGCAGGGTGATGCCTGCAGCCAGCTCTGCCTGAATAAACTTTCCCTGGCTTCAATAAAAATGTTAGTGTAGTCAAGACTCTGCCCTGTGGGTTTTTTTTTCCTCCCCCTCCCAACCAGTGCATCCCAGTACCCAACCCAGGGCAGCTCCTTTGAGAAGTGTGTTTGGTGGTGGCACAGAGGGGAAACCTCAAATCCTTGCAAAGCAATTACTGCTAACGAGACACTTCCTACACATCTGGTTTCAATCCTGGCTGTGTTTTGGGGACTGTTCTTCAGAGCTTGGGAATGGAGGAAGGTGGGAAAACCTCTTGAGCAGAACCCTCCTCCCAAGGTGGCAGTTGGGCTGTAGCTCCCACCTACCTCCCTTGCCAAACCCAGATCATTAGCAGACAAAATTACACCTCTCCAGGGAGGCTGAATTGCAGCAGCAGCAATTATTGGAGGCTGATCACATGCCAATTGATTGATATGTTTTCTGAGAGCAACTGTAATGTGTTTAATTAGTGTGTAATTCACACGAGCAGGGAAGGCTGGATGCCCCAGGCTTGAGGATATTTTGGAATGAAGTGCCAACTGCAAAGAACATGGAGAAATCTTCTTGTTTAGTGTGTGATGGCTTGGGTTGGTATTTTTTTTTTTTTCTATAAGGATTTCATGGTAAAATGGTGGGAATTGGGTATTCTGACCTTCTTATCTCCAGCACTGCAGGACTGAGCTCTCAACCTGCCCAGCTGGCAGGAGGGTGCTCCTGTGCCTCTGGTTTTCAATGGGAACTTGATTCCCAGCCTTCAAGCTCTTCCAGGGATCCCACACTGGCCTTAGATGGCTCTGGTAAGCCTGAGCCACAGGGCTTGAGCTCTAGTTTCTGACCATTGGGATCAGGTCTCTGTTTGAAGGCAGATTTGTGTGTGTCCTGGACCCCTCTGGCTGCTGGTTTTGGCAGCCAAGTGCCTTGTTATCTCAGTGCAGAGTGTGGCCTTGGAGCAGGATGCAGAGAACCAGCAGGGAGGGTCAGGGAGAGAGGGATTTCAGGAAGTGTGTGTTGCTTTTGTGTGGAGAGCAGTGGGGAGGTGGCGTGGGAACCCTTGGCTTGTTTCCTTGGGAATGAGACAGTCCAACCTGGATCTCACTGGCAGGTTTGTCAGGGGGGTGAGGGCAAAGAGAACGTGGTGCTGCTGGATTCCTGGGGTTCATCAGGCTCCTGGCTCCTTGGAGCTTGGCTGCTCTGGCTCTGCAGGTGGTCCCTTGGGTGCACTGTCATCTGGCAGCAAGAAGGTGCAGGTGGGCATGTCCATCCCCATGCTTTTCCCTGGCTGCAGTGGGTTCCTGCTTGGAAGGCAGGCTTGTAGAGGAGAGCTGGGCAGAGCCCAGGCTTTGGTTGCTCAGTGGGTGTCCTTCTGCAAGGGTAGCTTAGCTTACCAGGCCTCCTCTTCAGGTTCAGGTCTCCAAGCAGGGTTTTCCCCAGAGGACAACTTGCCTTGGTCAGTTCTTCTGACCTGAGCAGCAGAGAAAATGGTCTGGGAAGATGTGTTGGTGTCTCAGGAGCTGAGCTGCTCAGGAGGAGCTTGTCTGGCCTTGCAGCAGCTGCCTTGGGTGAGTTGTCCAAGTCACATGTGGCTTCCCAGAAGAACCATTTCTTGTGACGTGGTAGCTCAGCCCCTGGTAGGAGTCAGTCAGAAAGCATCCCCTGGGACCTCTGGAGTGGTGGGGCAGCTTTGTTCCAGCCATGACTCCACTCCCCAGGCATGACACTAGCATCCTGCTCTGTCTTGCTCCTCTGCAGTTTGGGTGTATTCCCCTGCTCCCAGGGTGTTTCTTTCCAGGAAAACTTTCCACAGGCCAGTGCCTGGCCCTGGAACAGAGCCTCCCACTCTCTTTTTTTTTTTTGCTTTATTTAATATATAGTAAAATAAACTTATTTTTCCCTTCTTGCTGTCACCAGCTGCTCTGCTGAGCCACAGCACAATGAAGGGAAAAACCAAAGCAGGGTGAAATCTGCTGGAGTTGAAAGGCAGGTCAGGCTCTGGGGTTACTCAGCTCAATGGCACTTTTGTTCTAAAAAGGAGAGGGAGAAGGTGTGTGCCCTGCTGGACTGGCAGGGTCTCCTGAGCATTTGGGAGGAGCAGCAGGAGCTGGGGGGCCTGGGACCCCCTGGGCTGGGGCAGGGCTGGGTGGGTGTTGCTGAGCAGCAGAGCAGGTCCAGGCTGCAGAGCTGGGGACCTCAATGAGTCACAGGCCACTTTGTGGCTCCACAGGGTGAAGTGTTGTCTTGCTGTGGCAGTGCCAGCCCCACTGGGTGGCTCTCAATCCCTTAACCCCTCTGGGATTCTCTTCCCCACCCATCAACTGGAACTCAAAGCACTCCCAGGGCAACACTGACCCTTTGCTCCATCCAGCCCTTATCCCTGCTGGGGATGCCCAGGCAGTCAGAGGGCATTTGGGCCTCTTGTCTCTTGTCCTGGTGCTACAAAGCTGCAGTTCCCATCTCCTGAGGGCTGTGGCACTGCAGCTGGCAGCTCTGCAGGGTCTTGGCAGGGCAGCTTCATCTCCCCTCTGCCCCCATCTCACTCCTTCTGGTTTTGCCTGGACTGCCCAGCAGCTGCTTTTCCAGTCCTGGGGCACATCAGGGCTTGGTGCCTGAGCATGGGAGCTCCAGTTGCTGTTGGGCAGGCAGGCAGTGGCACCCAGCACACAGCCCCAGTTCCCTGCTGGGACCTGGGCAAACAGCTCCCCCACCTGCTGGGCAAACAGCTTTGTAGAGACCCAACCAAGCACACCTTGTGCCCAGGGCTCCTGTATCCAACTGTTCCAGGAGAAGCCCCTGATCCCTCCTTTCACACTGGCAGAATAGTCTTGTTCTGCCACCCCAAACATGCTGCTGCTCTCCTGCCTGCCTTCCTCCCTGCCAACAGGCTCCTGGAGGTGCTGCCTTGGCAAGGGGCTCTCCTGCTGCTCCCCACGAGTAGCAGAGGAAGAGGAGCTGGGCCCTGCTCCCTCTAGCCATCCCAGACCATCCTGGCCAGGTCCCCAGAAGTGCCATCTCTTCCAGCAGGTGACAGAAGGCTGTGCTGGAGGCTGTGCAGCCCACACAGCTTGGGGCCAAGGAGAGCAGGGGGTGCTGCAGTCCTGCCAGCCCCTGACCCTGCAGCTGCTCCAGCCGTGGGGGCTGGGCTTGCACTTCTCTTTCTCTTCCTCTTTTTTTATAAATTAAAATCCCAAAATAACTGTGCCTCTCTGGGATATTTTTAAGCTGTTTTTTTTTTTCATCTTCTTCCTTTCTTCCCTTGCATCTCCCAGCAGCTCAGAGCTGAGAGGGCTCCTGGTTGCCAGCAGAGAAGGCTGCACGTCACTTCCTTGGCATGGGGCCTTCTCCAGCCCTCAATGCTCACTTTGTTTTTCCCCTCCCAATAGTCTGGGGAGCTGTCAGGGCTCCTCACAGTGTCACACAACCCCTGGCCCACAGCCCTTGGTGGGAGCTGCTGCTGACAAGGGATGTGGGGGGTGGGGGAGGCTGGGTGAGGGGCTCTGCTCCAGCTGCATCCTTGCCTTCCTCCTCCTCCATCTCCTCTGCCATGTGGCCCAGCTCTCTCCCTTCCCCTGGGAAGTCACCCACCTCTCCCTCCTGCATCCCACCCATCTGGCTTCCCTAGGGCCCCATGTCTGTCCCCTTGGAGCAGCCTTTGGGAGCCTGGCCAGGAGCACCACTGCTTTGAACTGGCTTTTAACTGTCTGGTAGCTTGGTCCTGCAAGGAGGCAGAGCCATCTGGGTGGAACAGAAATAGAAAAGGGGGGTTAATAAGTGTTGTGTTTCATGCCAGGAGAGCCCCATGTCCTGGTGGGACACAGACCCTGCTTCCGTCGGGATCTGGGATGAGGGCTATAATGGTTACAGGGCTTCTCCACAGCCCCAGATCACTTGCAGATAGAGAAGCTGTTCTCAGTGACAACTATTAAAAGGCTCAGCTGTTTAACTGTTAACCTTCCCTTTCATCCCGTGTGTTGGGAACCTGGTTTCATCTCTGGTTTCCCAGACTTCAAGAGTCGTTCCCGCCCAGGTGATGTGTTGGGGTGGGAGGTATCGAGGGAAATGCTGAGTGGGAAACCTCTCAGCCTTGGGAGCTGTCTTGGGAAGCTGGCATGGCTGTGGGTAGCTCCAGGCTTGGCTCCTGAACCCTTCCAAGTGGTGAGTTTGGTTGCAGAAAATCACCTGTTGATGAAGCCACCTGTGAGGTTCAAGAGCTCCTGGGTGTCCTGAGCCTCTGGCTGCTCCAGGAGCTCCTGGCAGGCTTTGCCAGGGATCAGACTAGCTGTGGGATCTAACCCAGTGTGGCTGATCCCAGTGCTGGGATGTTCCTGCTGGGAATTTTGCTGCTGTTTGCAGGTGTTGAGTGTCCTGGGGCTCTGTGTTTCTCCCCGGTGTTGCTGTGCGTGGTGCAGGGTGTTGCAGTGTGTGATACCAGCAGTGACATCAGGGTGCTGCTGTTCCCTGCCTGGCTGCAGGTTTGAGAGCCCGTTGTGCCATGAGGACATGTTTTCATCCAGCACCCCAGTCCCTGGGGTAACCTGGGAGCTGGTGCCCTTTCCAAGGGCTGGGTGAGGTGGATGGAAGCTGCCCCAGGTCAGTAGTGGAGCACTGGTGGAAGGGGTTTGGGGTGGGTAGGAAAGCTCTGGGTTAGCTGTCTGGTTTCTTGTTTCTAACTGTTTTGTTCTCTCCTTTTTCTCCTCCCCCTCCCCTGCTTTCTAAAGAACATAGGAAGCTTCTTGCTGGTAAGTGGTGGTGTGTCATGCAAAAAAAACCCAACAAACCCATTTTTTCCATCCACCATCAGACTCCCTGGCTGGTCCTTGTCATTCTTCCATCCACCCAGAATGTGCTGGAGCAATAGAAACCTTCTGCAGGTGGCTCCAGACACACCATCCCCATGTGTGCTCACCTCAAAGGCACCTATTGCTTTTAGATCACAGTTTGAAGAATTGCTTTCCCCTCTGCCTTGCCCAGCCTGATGCTGGTGCCTCCACTCAGCTGGGCTGCCCTTGCCCTGGGGGTGCCAAACTGTGATCTAAGGACCCCTCTCTCCTCGTGCTTGTCTCATCTCTGCCTCCATCCTCAGCCTCTCACCTTCACCAGCTCCCTGGGGAGGGTGGGGGAGAGCACTGTCCCACCTCAGACTGCAGGTACAATGGACAGGTTTGGGCTGTGGAGCTGGCCTGGGGGTTCTGTGGCATCTGCTGGCATCACTGCTGTGTCCCCCCCTCCAGCTGCAGGGGCAGGGCAAACACAGCACAGCCAGCTCCTCTGGGCATCTTTCTAGCAGAAGCAAGGGACGTGTGGGAACAGGGTGAAGTCCCCAGGGTGTCTCTGCTCCCCTCACCTGCCCTGCACCCTGTTGGGGGCTGATGGGCTCTTCCTTGGCTGCCAGCAGCACGGGCAGTTGTTTGATCAGTGGGTGCCAGGCCCTGGAACACAGCAGCTGGGTGCCTGGGCTGGCCAGAGCAGCCCTGGCTGGGTGAGGGTCACCTGGCTGGGTGCCTGCTCCCCCTGCTCCTGGGGATCCCAGCATCCCAGGAGCTGCTGGCTGGCTCCTTTGGGGGGTGCCTGTGGATGCAGAGCGTGGGTAAGGAGGTGCTTGGCATGTGGCTGGGCTGGCAGCTCATCCCTCCCCCTCCCCCTGCCTGCACAAACCTTGGAATGGACCCGGAGGGTGGGAAAAGTGGGATGTGCCCCTGCCTGGGCAGTCATCCTGCTGTGGCTCAGGCTTCCAGGTCCCTGTTTGCCATGGGCAGGCAGGTGTGCCCTGCTGGGATGGCCAGTTTGGGCTTTGGGGCTGCTCCCCTGCCCACACTCTGCTCACCTCCAGACCTGCAGGTGCTGACCCTGTGGCTGGGTACTCAGGTGGGTCTGGGGGGGATGTGGGGTGGGATGGAGCTGGGGCAGCTCTCTGGCCCTGCTCTGGCTGCTGTGGCTGGGGGGGTCAAACCCTCTGAGCCCAGGAGAAGGGAGTCACCCCAGGACTGCCCAGCTGTGGCTGCTGCTGTGTTTGCTCCCTGGTCTGTGCCCCTCACTCTGTGTCACATATAGACTGTGTTGTGTGGGTGGGGGGGAGGGCTGAGGGTTGGCTCAGAAATGTGCCCTGGCTGCAAAGGCACCAGAGAGGAGACAGAGGGACAGGAAAGTTTAGTTGAAAGCCTTTCTCTCCCAGCCCAGACCAAGGAGGGAGAAGTTATCCAAGCCAACAGCATCCTCTGCTGGCTGAGACTCCCTGGGCCTCTCAGCACTGATCTCTGAGCACGGCCAAGAGAGACCCTGAGGGGCTGGGGCTGGGGAAGGGGCTGGGACACAGGACTGAGCAGGAGCAGCTGGGGGTGTCCAGCCTGGAAACAGGGAGGTGAGGGGAGACCTGCTGGCTCTGCAGCTGCCTGAGGGGAGGTTGGAGCCAGGGGGTTTGGTCTCTGCTCCCGGGAAAGGCATTACAGGGCAAGAAAAAACAGCCTCAATTTGTACTGGAAGGGTTAGATTGGATATTTTTTAGATGATATTATTATTTTTACAATGATTTCTAATGATTATATATGTATTTATTATGTAAAGCATCTTATATATTATTATTATTACTCATAAAGTATCTTAATAATAATTTATAAATCATTATATTTAGATCTGGTATTTTCTTTCCTGGAAGGGCTGTCAGACCCTGGCTCAGGCTGCCCAGGGCAGTGATGGGGTCACCAACCCTGGAGGGATTTCAAAGCCATGTAGATGAGGTGCTGAAGGATATGGGGCAGTGCTGGCCTTGGCAGTGCTGGGTTAGTGGTTGGGCTTGGTCATCTGAAAGGTCTTTTCCAACTCAAACAAGTCTTTGAGGACACAGAGGGGTTTCCCAGCTGGTGTGGCTGGAGGGTCCCTTGGGAGAGGTGCAGGGAGGACACTTGGCTGGTGGGATTCAGCTCCTGGCCCAGAGTGAGGAGCAGCCTGAGGGTGCAGCTGGAGGGGGGACGTGTTGGTGCTCCCCTGTGGAACCTGGGCTGGGATCAGGTGGCCAGGAGCTGGGACATGGGTCAGCTCCTCTCTCTGGAGCAGCTCTGGCAGGACTTCCCATGACTGTTCCTCCCAGTCCCTCTGCCTGCAGCTCCTTGCACAGCTGCTGGGAGAGGTGGGTGCTGCTGCTGTCTCCCCTTTGCACAGGGGACTTGCTTTCCATTCCTGCATCCCCCCACTGCCCCTGGGGCTGGGTGGGTAGGAATTGAGTTGTTCTGCTGAGGTGCCTTTGCTTTCATGCCCTCTGCATGCCTGGTGCTCCCTGGTGTGATGTGTTTGCTCACTGGTTGGGCTGCTTTGAGGCAGGTGAGGTGACTGGCAGCACCCCAGCTCCATCCAGTGCTGCTCCTCTGGGCAGACCCCAGGATGAGGCACATCCCCAGCCTGCTGGGGGCTGGCAGTGTCTGGGAACACCCTGGGGACAGCTGCTTTCCCAGTGGCAGGGTATCTGGAGTGCCAGGGACACATGCTAATTTTAGCCTGCTGGGTCCTTGCTCCAGAAATGTGCTGTGGGTTTGTTTCATCATTTGTTTTCTACTGGGTTATTTTCGAGGGGCTCTGCAGCACCAGCCCCTCCTCACTCCCCCCTGGCAGAGGAAGGAGTTTGCATCAGCTTGCAAAGCCACTGGTGTGTGTTTGGAAGAGGGTTGGCAGAAGGGATGTCCCACAGCTCAGTCAGCACCCAGAGAGGCTGGTGGTTTGCTCTCCAGTGGGCAGGGAAGGCTCTGGTGGAGGCAGTTTTATAGAATGGGTTGGGTTGGAAGGGACCTGAAAGACCATCGAGTTCCAACCCAATGTCTGACCTAAATGCCCCTTCTTACAGTTTAAAGCCCGTGTGTCCCATCCCTCCCTGCCCTTGTCTCAAGTCCCTCCCCAGCTTTCCTGGAGCCCCTTCAGGCACTGGAAGCTGCTCTAAGGTCTCCCTGGAACCTTCTCCAGGCTGAACACCCCAACCCTCCCAGCCTGTCCCCAGAGCAGAGGGACTCTCATCATCTCAGGGACACAACAGCCACGAGATAACAGAGCAAACTGAGCTGTTGGAAAGGTCTGTTTGTCCCCCAGCAAGGGAGAGGCTTCCCTCCCTCCCTCATCACCCTGGTGGTGCTGCAGCATCATCCCTGCCAGCAGGAGCTGCAGGCTGGGCTGGCAGCACGGCAGGTGGCACTGTGAGCCTGCAGCCCTGCTGCTCCAGCCCCCCCTGCTCCCCCTGCAGCCTCCTGGGGGCTGCCCTGCTGCACCCACCCCGGCCCAGCACCCTGGGGATACTGGGAGATGCCCCAGCCCAGGTGCCTGGGGCTGGGAAGTCCTCTGGGGCTTCGAGCCAGCTTGTGGGTTCCTGCCTGGCTGCCTCAGCTGCAGCCTGCAAGGTGGGCTTGGAATGAGGGAGGGTGGGGGCCAGGAGGGCTGGTGGGACCCCAGCAGCTGGTGTGGGCACTGCCTGGGGCAGGGGTTCCCTGGGTGTGAGCAGTGCCCTGATGCAGGGGTTCCCTGGGTGTGAGCAGTGCCCTGGGGCAGGGGTTCCCTTTGCAATGGCAGAGGTTGGCAGGGCTGGCCACAGAGAACTTGGGCTCCTTGGCTGAGTAGCAGGGACCTGTGTGATTTAGCACTGAGCTGCATCCCCTCCCTCCCTGCTTGGGGATCCCTCAGAGTGCCTGGATGACACCTGCTTAGCCCAGCCTCACCTGGTCTAAAGCCATGAGGTGGGGGAACACCCCCTCTGCAGAAGCAGCAGCCAGGCATCCCTGGCCCAGCACTGTCTGGCATGGCTGTTTATTAGGAACAATGTGAATTAAAACCCCTTTCTGCTCCCAGCCAGCCTAGCCTGGGGGGGCTGGCTGCCCCAGCTCCTGCACCCACTCCCCAGTCTCCCATTGAAAGGGTTTAAAAGCTCTTTATTTCCCAGCGTGGCTCAGCAGGAGTCAAGCTGGGTCCTGCCAAGTGTTAAATGAAATAATTAAAATCCCCACTTTCTCCCCCTCCTGCTCCTTTCCCTGTGATGCTGGTAATTAGCCTGTAAAACTGCAGGAGGGGATGGGGAAGGGAGAATGTGCAAATGCCTTCTGCAGGCTCCATCCTCTTCCCCCTCCCTGGAGGAAGCTCAAAATGGCTCTCTAGGCACTGGGTGCTGTCAGATAAATCCCAATTAGCTCCCTGCCAAACAGGATTAGGGAGAAGGGAGCCAGGTGGGGGCTCAGCAGGAGCTGGGAGCTTCTGCAGGGTCTCTGGCTGGGGGAGGAGGGGGAGATTGGCAGGGGGCAGGCACAACCCCAGACAGCACACGCTGATGGGG